AGTATAGCCCATGACCGACCCCTGTACTTCATAGGATACGTCAGCTCCTCTCTAGTGGACAGGATCCAAGTAGATCCAAGGTCTGCACTGAGCATTGTCCCCTTGAAGCTCATCAAACACTTGGGGGGTGCCTCAAAAGTGGTTGTCTGCAATGACTACCATCATCTTTGGCTTTAATGCCATTGAAACTCGACCGCTGAGAAAGATCCGCCTCAAGTGCCGTCTGGGCAACATGAAGACAGATGTGACTTGCTACGTCATCGATGCAGAGCCTTCCTACAACATGCTATTAGGGTCAGCCATGGATCTATAGCAGTCAGATAGTCCTATCCACATTGCATCAGTGTTTGAAGTATTATGATGACCGTGATCAAGTAAAGAAGACGATCACTGATAAGCAGCCCTTCAAGGGGGTTGAAAACTACTTCACTGATTCTTTGCTCTACCAAGACTCTGAACTGGGCAACGAGCCACCGGTTGAGGAACCTGGCAGTGGTAATGAGGTCGATAGTGAGTCTAAGTTCAAAGTTGCTCCGATCGCAACACTTTTAACTTATCGACTCTCGTCAATAGAGCGATAGGTCCTCAAAGTTGCTCCGATCGCAACACTTCCAACTTATCGACTCTCCTTAATAGAGAGATAAGTCCTTAAAGTTGCTCCAATCGCAACACAAATCCTGTCACGTTAACACTAAACCTCTGACAAAATCCACTTATCAATCCTCGTCAATAGGATGATAAGTCCACAAAGTTGTTCTCATCACAACACAAATTCATGTCATGTTAATAGCACACCTCGGACAAACCCACTTATCAATCCTCATTAATAGGATGATAAGTCCACAAAGTTGCTCTAATCGCAACACATTCTCTTGTCATGTTAACACCATACCTCTGACAATCTACTTATCAATCCTCGCCAATAAGATGATAAGTCCACAAAGTTACTCCGATCGCAACAAATTCCCGTCATGTTAACACCAAACCTCTGACAATCCACTTATCAATCCTCTTCAATAGGATGATAAGTCCACAAAGTTGCTCCGATCGTAACATTCTCTTGTCAAGTTAACATCACACCTCTGACGACCAAATCAACTTATCGACTCTCTTCAATAGAGCGATAGGTCCATAAAATATTGTTAGGTTAACATTATACCTCTAACAGTCAAACCCTCCCCAATGAACTTGTTAATACTTTTCAACAAGAATAGCAAGTTTTCATTATAAAATCCCCAGTGGATTAGAGAATTTCTAAAATTATCCCAGTGATAATAAAGAAAGTTTCTGAATTTCACTCTAAGTGAAAATTCACGCCAAGTTAATACTACACCTCTGGCACTTCTAATTTTCTTTCAGTGTTTCAAGTGAAAATATAACACGGGAAGAAACAGTGGCAAAGTCTATGTATTCAAAATCATAGCATCAAGTCTAGGAAGGTTCATTCTCTTAGCACAACGTTACATGTGGAATGGACTTAGACAATCCACATGCTAGCCTGATTCAAACGGTAGTCGGTAAAAGCTTATCAAATCCGTTGATGGCTGAGGGTTTGCCAAAAATCCTATGCACGTTTGCAGGCCCATCAGCTTAATGGATGTGAGCCGAGACTTAAAACAGATGAGCTAAAGACAAGTCTCAAAGACTTAGTCAAAATGCATGGAAGCCAATTCCATGTCTTAAGTTAAAAAGTTGAGGTCAGACCCGCGATGCAAAAACCGAACGCCGAGGTCACACCCGTGTTCCAAATTCAACATGCAATGGTGAGACCCGCATCTCAAGTTCAAAATGCAGGGTCCACCCCCACATTCCAGAAGCAGAATTATGGCGCATACCTTCACACAGGTCCTACATGGCAAATCCCTTCAACCAAGATGCCTACGAAGCAAGTGCAGAGAACAAATCCTTTACCGCAAGGAATCACCAGCTCCAAGATCAGAGTTGAGATCCAAAGTATTCCGAAAATTTATCCCAATCAACCACTAACTTTCAAAAACTTTGGAGGAGGTTCTGTAGGCTGTCTAAAAATCATAATAGATAGCTGATCCTCGTCAAAACACCGATGATGGAAGTTACACTCTGACGACTTCCAGAAGGTTACAATTTGAAGACTTTCACGTAGACTGATAAAGGTTACAATCTGACGACCTTTGCAACAACTGATGAAAGCTCTAATCAATAGTCTTCACAATTAACATCGAGAGTTACAATCTGACGACTCTTAAAATGACGATCTTTGCAACACTTCGACAGAAAGAGACTACAAATCGACGATCTCTTCAAATCAAGACGTGGAAGTCCTCCCCGCGTACCAGCATCAAGATGCGCCGCGTTCATAGCCACGAACGCAGCTCAAACGCAGCCTCTGAAAGCTGCAAACGCAGCTTCCATCCGCTGCCAAACGCAGCTTCCAAATCGCTGCAAACGCAGCTCCGACGCAGCTTCCAACGCTACCAACGCAGCTCCAAAAGCTACAAACGCAGCTCAGATGCAGCTTCCAACGCCGCAAACGTAGCTCCAAAAGCTGCAAATGCAGCTCAGATTCGGCCGCCAACGCAGCTCATGTTCGGCCGCAAACGCAGCTACCAACAAACTGTCAACGCAGCTTCCAACAAGACGCTGCGTCCGAGCCTCCAGACGCTGCGTTCAAACGCAGATTTCATTCCAGAATGCAGGATTTATGTTTGACTCATTCAAACACGAGCTGAACGGTTCCAAAACCGATTCCCACGATCTGAGGGGATCACAACTCCACTCAGGAGTGATTTAAGGGGCAGTTACATCCCATTAGCCCCACTTAGGAGCGAATTAAGGGGGTGGTTACACCCTTTAATCCTCTATAAATAACTAAAAATCAATTCAGTTCAGGGGTTCGATCTGTTGGAACTTCTTGGCAGCGAAAAGAGGATCCTTCATCCTTCGGTTGGAGCTTTGGAGATCGGCAACAAGATCTTCTTCATCCTTGGCTTATAACCGACTTTCGGTTAAATCAACTCTTTCATAGAGTTTTAAACTCGTTCAGAGTTCTCCACAACGTCAACATCGTGAGGAGAAGACCACGTTCCAGTGAAACAAGACATCGGATCGTCAACGGAGAGCAAACTCGACGCGAGCATTCGAGGGATTCACTCAATCGCCACCGTGAAGAACCCAGACTTAAACAAAGGGGAGGATTTGCATCAATTCTCTTCTCTTTTGTAATCAGGAAATCCAATTGTAACTGAGATTAAAGGAATACAGATCAATTTTCCTTCGTTTCTTTTACTGCAAATTTTCCCACAAACACTAACCCTCACCCTCACCATCACCCCCACCCTCACCTAACCCTCCTCTAACCCTAATCCTAACCCAAACCCTCACCTAACCCTAACCCTAACCCTAACCCTAATTAAAATTAATTTTTTTTATATTATAATTTCATCAAGATGAACATTTTTTATTAGGGTTTGGGTTTTTTGCATAATTTTTTTGTTTTACCAAAATTAAACTAAAATTATAAAAATTAAATTTAAATAATAAAAATAACTACAAATGCATCTCCCCCCTCTCAATCTCTCCTTCTCTCTCCCTCTCTCTCGTCGGCCGACGCCGGCGGCCGTTGGTCGGCTCGCTGCCGCGTCGGCGCGACGAGAGAGAGGGAGGAGAGAAGGAGAGATTAGGGGGAGAAAAAGAGAGAGAGATTGCAGGGGGGAAGAGATAGGAGATCCTTGAGAGGGGGCGAGAGAGGGGCGGCGGCGCGGGAGGAGGGGGGGAATCGGACAGGGGGGTAAATGAGGAGAGGGGGGGCGGGATCGACAGGAGGGGGAAATGGACAGGGGGGAAATGAGGAGAGGGGGGCGGGATTCGGACCAGGGGGGAAACCGAGGGCATATTAATTCGGGTGCGGGCTGCCCAAAAAATTTGGGCACCCGCGCCCAAAAAATTTTCGCCCCAGAATTTTTTAGCGACGAAAAAATTTACCGTCGTAATATATTTTAGCGACAAAATATTTTCCGTCGCTAAAATGGAATATTCCGTCGGTAGAATTTTTTACCTACGGACAAATAGCGACGGTAATTTCCGTCGCTATAACGTAACATATAGCGACGGAAAATTCCGTCGCTATTTGTCCGTAGGTAAAACCCCATTTTCTACTAGTGAAAGTTATCTTCGCACTACCATGTCATAGGAATGATTGAATGGATTGGCAATGATATTAATTGAAAATGAATACTTGGAGAAACTTGAGTATGATAACTTAATTGAAGAATTCGCTTCAAAAAATTCAAGGAGAAGTATTTTTTTTGAATTAAATTGTAGCACAAATATAATCTCTTCTTATATGAATATTGATTTTGCATGAGAATATTTTCAGTTTGAGCCCAATATGGAACGCTAAATTGTATTATATGTATTCATTTTTATCGTTATTGTTCGTACCAAACTTTAATATAAGGGACAGCCAAAATTGAATTGGGCTAGGGCAACCCAAAGTTCGGGGCCGTCCCTGATTGACCATAAGCAAGAGCTAGAACTTTAAGCCATGTTTTATACAATGGAGAACCCCTAATTTGAAAGAACAATGAGAATAAGGCCCAAATTAAATCCTTCTTTTCTAGCTTTAATTTGAAAATTCCTCTTTCTATAGAATGAGTAAGGCCAACTAACATTGCAGTGTTATCATAAATATGTCATACACACATGTTAAGGTTACGTGTGACTGCGGAGAGGAAAATATCCGGCTGACAATTTTTAAGGCCTATTTTCCCCACCTTGCAACTTTAAAAACCTTCTTGTTGTGGGAGGGGAAAAATTTTATATATAGGAAGTTGAACATCAAGTCATTTTTTAATACCAAGCTGCGATTACCATTTTGCTCCAATCTCTCTTAAGTAGCGAGACATTAGACATCTTCTCAAGATGGATAAGGTGATCCCCCACGTCCACAGAACGAAAACCAAAACAAAGCATTCACAGTCCGATAGCAGGTCCCAATCCTTCCACCTCCCCCCGACAATCCCATGGCCACTCTCCTCTCCCCATCAGCATCCTCCCCTCCCCCTCCCCCTCCTGCCCCCATCCGAAACCCCAACTCAAACCCCAGCAAGAAGGACACCGCCGAGTACACCTACCTCGTCCCCGACTCCTGGAAGGAGCGCCTGGTCTCCAAGGTGGAGAAAGGCACCAACGGCACCGACAGCGAGTTCTACAACCCCAGGAAGAAGTCCGAGAAGGAGTACCTCACTTTCCTCTCCGGCTTCCGAGCGCTGGCGCCCATGGACGCCGTGCTGAGCAACCTGGCGCTGTCCGACGTCGAGCTGCAGGATCTGATCGCGGGCGCGGAGGACGGGGTGAAGTCCAAGGAGGCCAAAGATGGGAACGGGCAGGTGTACTATGAGTACGAGATCGACGGGGTCGGAGCGCATAGCTTGATCAAGGTGACCTGTGCCAGGAACAAGCTGTATGCGCATTTCGTCAACGCGCCGAACGCCGAGTGGAACAAGGACGAGGAGATGCTCAGAGAGTTGCACGACTCCTTCAAGACCGTCGATAGTAGCGCTTCATCTTCTTCTTGAGTTTTATGGTGCGCGCGCTCGTGTACGTGTTCTGAGTTGAGCATTTGATATTCTGCATTTTCCCACCTGCTGTATACGTACGTTTAAAATTGAACATGAGGAATACTAGCAAACCTGTTCTGCAGATGAGAACCGTACGTAGATACTTCAGTGCGCGTGCCAAAATTTTCGGTTACGCTGTTCCGTGTAATTAATGGATTAACTGAAAAATTACAGTCGATTTGCTTTGCTGGATAGGAGGAGGAGCTTGGCTAATGACGCAAAATTTTGTCATTTGCACTGAATCTCCTCGGTTCCCCCTTTGAAAGATAAAAAATAGAACATTTCAAATTAAAAAGTAGCACTGAATTGAGGTATTCTGACATTTCTGATCGGTATCATTAGAAATTAAATAAGTGTGGAGATCAAATATTCAAATAAAACAAATCCTATTTGCAATTAAAATAAGTATGGTGATCAAATATTCAAATAAAACGATTCCTGTTTGCCTACCGCATCGACTCCTTTTACGAGATGCTACACTTAAGTAAATCACGTGGAACACCCGCAGTAATTAAACCGTTCTCATTAATTCCCTACAGTGTGAAGAATAATCTTAAGCCTCAAATTTGTCCTACCATGTATAATGTTGACCAGAATTCTCAAGATTGATCAATTCGAGCTGCACCTTTGGTGGCTGAGAAAGGCAATGCAATTAATAATCTTCAAGCAGACAGGTACAAACATAGACAAAAGGTAGATCAAAAGAAGTGATGACAAGAGTTTGCTTATGTAAAAGAGATGACGCTAAAGGAAGAAATCAGCCAACTGCATCTAAGAGCTAATGTGAGGTAAGGAAATAGTGTCATTGATAAAGCGGCGACGTGTGAAATGACAGTCATTCTCAATATGCTTGGTGCGCTCATGAAATATAGCACTAGTGCTGTCACAATGGAGAGGAGTGGGAGCAATAGAGGACAATCACATGTCGCCGAGTAACCAACAAAGTCAAACAATTTTAGCAGTAGTGGATGTCATTGCTTGATATTCTATCTTAGAGCTATAACGAGAAACAACGTCCTGCTTTTGTGATTTTCAAGAAATCAAAGAATCTCTAAGAAAATATACAATGGCTAGTTGTGGAGCGCGATCATTAACATCTTTAGCCCAGTCAGCATCACCGTGAGCTCGCAATTGAAGATAGGAGGATGAGAAAAATAGAGATACGCTCAAAGTCCCTCGAAGATAGTGAAGAATACGAAGAAGAGTTGCATAGTGATCTGTACGAGGAGCTAAGACAAACTGACTGATGATATGTACTACATAGGTAATATCAAGTCGATTAATTGTGAGCTAGACCAGACTTCCTATGAGTTGATGGTAGATGGAAGGGTCAGATAAAGGATCAGTAGAATGAAGCTTAACATTAAGCACAAGAGGTGTAGGCGCAGTCTTAGTATGTGTCATCCCAGAGTGATCTAATATCTGTAAGCAATCACTTTTGTGAGAGAATATATCCCCGGGGCGACTGATCAATCTCAAGCCCCAAGAAGTATCGAAGATGTCCAAGATCCTTCATCTCAAATTACTGATTCAAATATTGTTTGACCTACTATATATGAGATTCCGAGGGATCGGTGAGAATCATGACATCGACATATAGAAGAAGGATAGTCCCAGAGGTGTCCATGAACGTAGAACGATGATTAGAACTAGGAATAAATACGACACCTCAAATAATAGAGGTAAATCGGGCAAACCAAGCGCAAGGAACCTGCTTTAGACCATAAAGTGCCCGATGAATATGACAAACCTGACCAAGTTATGTGGAAGACCATCTAGCAGAAGCATGTAAATCTCCTTAGAAATGTCATAATGTGAGAAAATGTTCTTGACATCCATTTGGAAAATTTGCCAATTATGAACTGCAGCGACTGCAGTAGCCATCCAGGTCATAGGAGCAAATATCTCATCATAATCAATGTCACATTGTTGCGTTAAGTCACAAGCTACAAGCTACAGGACGGGCTTTGTATCGTTTAATAGTACCATCAATGTGGAGTTTGAACTTTTAGATCCATTTACAGCCAATTGCCCGCTTACCTAGAGGTAAAGCAGTGAGCTCCCAAGTTTTGTATTCTAAAGAGTATGTAGTTCTTTGGACATTGCATGTTTCCACTCAAGTAACTTTACAGCCTCATTGTACGATTGTGGTTCCTGTAAACTTAATGTTGCTATGAGAAAAGTCTGAATGGAGGGTGAAAGGGAAATGAAAATGTTCAATCTGTCACGAGGATGACGACCCCTTGTGGATCGTGGCGGGGGAGGATATTCAGATACATGATGTATATCAGGATCAAGAGTGACAGCCTCTATAGTAGGGACGTCAATTTTGACTCTAGAACGAGGCCACTTGCATTTTATTTCTGGGATGCAGAGATGAGCTCTGCATCTTGGACTGAAGAGATCGTTGACTTATAATATCTTCTATCAAAGCGTTACAAAGATCGTCATTTTGTAATCTTTGCTTTATCTTCTTGATACGTGAGAGTCGTCAGATTATAACTCTCACTGTTAATTATAAAGACTGTTGAATCAGAGCTTTTATCGGTTATCGTGAAGGTCGTCAAATTATAATTTTCTCGATTTACATGAAAATCTTCTAGTTGTAGCTTTCATTTGTTGATGTGAAAGTCATTTAATTATAGCCTTCATCCTCGAGTTGTTGATTAGGAAGTTATCAGATTGTAACTTTCATTATTGGTATTTGACGGGGATCAGCCATCTGTAGTAATTTTTAGACAGCTTACAAATATTTTCCAAAGTTTTATATTTTTCAGAATTTATTTGATATTTTTAAATATTATTTTAAAATCAAATTTCTACAATTCAATTTTCTAAAAACAGCATATATCAGTTTTCGGTCGACCGAACAAGTCCTTCCGGTCGACCTAACATCAGTTTTTGGTCAACCGAAAAGGTTTACCCGGTCGACCGACCAGAAAGTATTTTTCAGCATTTGTTTCTCAAGGTTCCTCAGTCGACCGACAATCTCATTTCGGTCAACCAATGGACACCCTTCGGTCGACCGATCAGTGTTAACCGGCCGACCGACTTTGTGACCGTTGCTTCCAACGACTAGTTTTTCAGACCCTATTTTTTATGGTTTTTTTGTCTTTTTCTTTAGCTTTGGGCTATTGTATTTAGCTCATATAAATACCCCTTTGTCATAACTATTTTTAACAACCAAAAAAGTTTTAAAAGAAGTTTAAGAGTGTCTTAAAGTTTGTTTAAGTGTGTTTTTCACAAGTGTTTTGTGAAGAAAGTTTCACAAGAAGAAAATGAGATTAATTCTATTGTTTGAGCTTCAATTTCATCCATCTCCCTCTCTTGTTTTTCAGAGAAGATTTCTTAAACTCAATCTCTAGCTATTTATAAGTTTTGTTTATCATTTTTATAAGCTAGATTTCAATTGAGTTTATATTACTCGTTATCTTTCACACACAACCACTTGAGCTTGAGTATTTTTATACATTGTATAATTTGGGTTGGTGGTGTGATTGGGTGGTCTTAATTGTGTTCTCATCTTATTTAGAGAACAAATATTTGTTTATTGTGCTTAATTATGAGATACACTTAGTAATACACTTGTACACCTAGAGGAGTGTGTGGTGAGAGACGTGGTCGATACCAAGAGGAGTAGCATCGGTAGTAAAGCCTAGAGAGGTTGTATACACTTGAGGGAGGCAACACGTGAGAAACCAACACTTGAGGTTGTAGTGTGTGATTACATTATGAGTGATTGTGAAAGTTTTTAGTAAGCTAGAAAACCGAGATTGTGATGTGTAAATATTTTCGGTTAGCGTTGAAAACCGATTGAGATAGTGGAGTTCTCCCCGGGAGTAGGGAATGGAGACGTAGGTCGAGGGTGACCGAACTCCGTGATTATTTTGTGTGTTGTGTCTTGCCTTGCCGTATTATTTGTTCTCATTGTTCATTCCATTCTATATCGCCATTGTCTCAAGTTTATATCGCCCTTAGTTTAATTGCATATCCTAGCTCATATATCTTATTGAATATCACACTTGATATGATAATTTGTTAATTAGTTTTAATTTGGTATTAATAATGGATTAGATTAGCATATACCCTATTCCCCCCACCCCCACCCCCTAGGGTATTTTTAGGATAGTGATGGCTTCGACACCATAGGCCAGCTTGAGAGGAGTGTCCCTGATAGAGTTTGTTAAGGGTCTTGCGATACAACCAGTGGAGACTGGGCAACTTTGGTGATGGAATTCTTTCTGGGAAAGATATCTAAGAAGTTGGAGTTGTTTTTTTTCTAAAAGGAAAACCATGGTGGTTTCCTCAATAAAGCTTTGAAGGTGATGGGAGCTCGACCATCCTATGGATGGATAACTCGTAAGTACTCCCAAGATGGTTGCTATGGCTATGGAGGAGTATTGACTATGTCGATTCTTCTCAGCCAAGACCAAACCTCCTTAGCTTGGGTGGCACAACTATGAAATCCGTTTAGCTTGGGTGACACAACTTCGGTGTTGCTCTACAGGGTGAGACTGACCAGATCCTTGTCCAGAACCTGACATGTCCTCTCAAAATAGAGAGGAGGCCCCACGATGGGTGCTAAACTGTTGATGTACTAGTGATCACGCAGTCAAAATGTTTCTGCTTTAGGATAAAGTAGAGGAGATTGATGAGGGGGCTGCCTTCTTCCTGGACTTTATGTCTAGTTCTTGAATGAGATAGATGAGGAGTCTACACAAGTAAAAACTCATGAGAGGACGGGTACTAGTTCCCCCGTTGTACCTCCGACGATCCTTTTAGATGATAAACTTGGCATTGGGTAAAAGAAGAGTCCCAACTAATAGCCTCTCCTCTGTATTTTTTCTAGAGTAGTTTTTCAACAGAGAGAGACCCCCCTTTGAAGGCCAATAGTACATGTATTTATACTGAAGGGTAAGGGCAGATTAGCCACTTTTGTCGAGTACGGAGAAGTAGTGGCGAGGTATGGGCTAGTGGTTATGTTAACACCTTCTTGGAAGGTGTCGGCTGGCGACTAGAGGAGACGTCACTTCAGTATTAGGTGGAAAGTAACTGATTGCATGGAAGGACATGGGCTAACAGCT